ACCAGTCCCTGGAGAAGGATATTATGCTTGGTACAATAGAGGGTCAGTAAAAAGAGAAAGACCTTCAATGAGATGGACTGACACAGTGGCTGCAACAACGGGTTCAAACATAGAGCAATGATTGTGGCCATGGTGCAGGACTGGTCACCAACTCAACTTTGTTGTTGTTATGTGCCGTTGAGTCAGACCTGACTCACAGCGACCTCTCCTTGGGTTTCCTAGGCAGTATCACTACGGAAGTAGATTGCCCAACCTTCCTCCTGAGGAGTGGCTGGTGGGTTTGAACCGCCAGCCTTCTGGTTAGCAGTCAAATGCCTTGGCACTATGCTACCAGAGCTCCCTAACGACAACTTTATCCCGACTCAATCTTTCTTTCTTTCTCTCTTTCTTCGTGAGACTGCCAGAAGGACTTTGTGATCTGGCTGAGATATCTAGATGACTCAGGAAAGTCCAAAGGATTAGAATTGTCTTCTCAGGAAACAAGGGCAAAGACTAATTTACTTTTTGGTGAAGTTAAATCCTTTGCACAAAGCAAACTTTAAACAGATTCATGATTAACAGATATCTTGTCACAGATGGGGGTTTCTGATTCCATTATCCCCATGTCTCCACCCTGTCACCTTGTTTATTATCTCTGGGTGCATCCCACAGTGGTTGGAGACCTTTGCGAATTTCCCTTGGTACTCAGAGGAATCCATCAGTTTGGGGCCTCAGTTTCCTTTTTTATTAACAGTGGTTACTGGAGCAGCCGCCTTGGGATCAGAGATGGAGATCACATGTTGAGAATGGCAGAGCTGCCCTACCCACCTGGACTATCCACATCTTGACTGTTTTGTAGAAAGAAATACAATTCCATTTTACTCCACTGTGTCCTTAGGTCTTTTGTTACAGCAGCACATCCTTACTTTATTAACTGAGCACAAAATACAAAGTTGGGATTGAGAAAGGTAACTTTTTTCCTTCTTTCATTTTTCCTTTGTGCCCACCATATGTCCAGCACCAAGGAACTGAAGTTCCAAAATGACCAGGATACAGACCAAACCAGGAGCTCAAAGTGTGATGAGACAGAGGATCTACAGGTGAATCATTCCAACCTCTGTGAAAATGCTTAAACAAGTGTGCATAGGCAAAGAGGAGGGAGCATCAACCCCAAGTCCTACAAGGTAGGGGAGAGTTTATCAGCCTATAAGGGGAAGGGGAGGGAGCTCAGAGGCAATCCACAGAGAGGTAACAGAATGTGAGAGGTCAAGGGATGGGGAAAAACATGGGCATTTGGTCAAAACAAGATCTAGGTCCAACTTTACCCATTCACTTGCTATTTGGCTCTTGTTGTTGTTAGGTGCCGTCAAGTTGGCTCTGACTTAGAGAAACCCTACGTACAAGGGAATGAAACATTCCCCAGTCCTGCAGAGCCTCACAATTCTTGCTATACCTGAGCCCATCATTGCAGCCACTGTGTCAGTCCATCTCACTGAGGGTCTTCCCCTTTTCTGCTGACCCTCCACCCTACCAAGCATGACATCCTTCTCCAGGGAGTGGTCCCTTCTGACAGCACGACCAAAGTAGGTGAGACAGTCTGGCCATTCTCGCTTCCAAGGAGCATTCTGGCTTCACTTCTTCCAGGAATGATTTGTTCGTTTTTCTGGCAGTCCATGGTACTTTCCGTATTCTTCATCAACACTACAACTCAAAAGCATCAACTTTTCTTTGGTCTTCCTTATTCATTGTCCAGCTTTCACATGCATATGAGACATCTTGGACTATTTATTTATTTTTAAACATCCTGGGCCTCTGTTTCCAAATTTGCAAAGTAGGATAAAAAATCCCACTCTGACTTAGGTCTGGGACATTGCAATGTCTCCATGATGTTATAGTTGGAAAGAGCTATCAAGCTATCAAGCAATACTAGCATTGTCACTTTCAAAGCCTAGTTTGGGCTTTGGGGCTGGCTGATTATAACTGGAGCTTCTGGGAGGGTGACAGGGGCTCTGAAAGTTCCCATTAAAGAGCCCACTCAGCTTGGAAAAAGTGGTTCAGCTTTCTGCACGGCAGTTGGCAATATGTATCAAGTGCCTTAAAAATGCTCATTTCCTTTGATCTAGAAATTCATCTACTACTTCTGGAAATAATTGGAAATGCAACAGAGGTTTGTGTACAAGGTTAATCTTCATAACAGCAAATAAATCAGTAAATAAAGTAACAGCAAACAACTATTTATTCATCAAATAAATTGCAGCACACAATAAATTGTGGCGGGCCACTACATGGTGTGTTGTTGTTGTTTTTGTCATTGAGTCAGTTCTGATTCACTGCAACCCCAAGTACAACGGAACCAAACACGGCCCGGTCCTGTGGCATCCTCACAATCCTTGCTGTGCTGGAGCCCATCTCATTGACAGTCCTCCCCTTTTCACCGGCCCTCCACTTTACTTCTCCAGGACCTGGTCCCTTCTGACAACATGACCAAAGGAAGTGAGGTGACGTCTGACTTTTCTCACTTCTAAGGAGCATTCCAGCTGTCCTTCTTCTGGGATAGATTTGTTCATTATTCTGGCAGTCCATGGTATTCTCAGTGTTCTTCACCAGCACAGTTCACTATGCTATGAACGGGGTCAATGTTCATGAGCTGACGCCGGGGAGGAAGTACAGTCCAATGCTGTGTACATTCAGGATGACCCCACAGGTAAAGCCCTCTTTGGGCCTGAGTCACGTAATCCCTCAGCTGCCAGGAGTGATTGACAGTTCTCAGCTGAAGTCCCTCTCTGGGAATTGCCCTCTCCTGAAAAGAACTGTCTCAGGACAGACTCTAAGAATATATACATTAAAATGATCAATGCTCATCTCTGGGTGGTGGGAACACAGGTGATTTTCCCTGTATTTTTGTGCATTTTCCAAGTTTCTGATACGGAACGTGTTACTGTTCAGCTGTGTTCTCCAGGTCCTTTGCACGCAGTTTCCTTTGCTGTTCCTTGAATATGCAGACGTGATCCTCCCACAGGGCATTTGCACATGCTGTTCCCTTGGTCTGGAGTCCTCTTCCCCTAGACACAGGCTGGCTCACCCCTCCCCACTTCAGGTCTTTGCTCAAATATCATCTTCTGGGAGGCCCCCTCATCCATCCAATTGAAAATACCACCTCATCCCTACCCCTGCACACCCACCCTCCCGCCCTGCTATATTTTTGTCCATTGTACTTGTCGCCACCAACACATTAGGCACTTCATTTTTTTACTTACTGTCTGTCTTCATCTTGCAGAATGTAAACACCATGAGGGTTGGGTCTTAGCCTATTATATTACTGCTGTGTCCTCAGCACTGAAAACTACTGAGTGCTGCTCTAAGGTGTTCTAACCACATAGCAGGTGCTCTAAGCTGTTCTAAGCATAATGTAAGTACTTAGCAAATAATTGTTGACTGACTGAATGAATGCATGAATGGAGCCATTTCTGAGCTTTTGCTAGCTTCTTGTTTGAGGGCAGGAGTGAGTACAGGCATGGGGCTGTCTGTTGTGTGACATCAAGTCAATTCCAACTCACAGTGACCCTATGTTGTTGTTGTTATGTGCCACTGAGTTGGACCCGACTCATAGCGACCCCTCCTTGGTTTTCCGAGGTGGTATCACTACAGAAATAGATTGCCCAACCTTCCTTCCAAGGAGGCTGGTGAATTTGAACTGCCAGCCTTCTGGTTAGCAGTCAAGTGCCTTAAGCACTATGCTACCAAAGCTCCTAGTAGGACAGAGTAAAACTGCCCCATGGGGTTTTCTAGGCTGAAGTATTTACAGGAGCAGATTGCCAGGTCTTTCTCCCCCAGAGCGGCTAGATGGGTTTGCACCTCCCATCTTTAGATTAGCAGCCCAGCACTCAACCACTGGGTCCTCAGGCAGGAAGTAGGACTGGGTGGGGGTGGGGCAGGAAGGAGGGGCGCTGGATGATGCCAGCAACACCAAACTGCTGTCCAGATACCTGATCTGCTATGACACTGGGGTTAGGGGGAGAAAGATTCCTGATAGGCACCCCGCCTCCACAGAGCAACCAAGTGGCCTGAGCATCAATTGGCCCCAGAGCAAAGAGAAACAAACCCTGAAAACACCCAAGAAGAGATTAGAACTGTCCTCAAACATGGGATGGATAGGTTGCCATGACAGGAAGATGACCCTAAGGGGTTGAACCGAGGCTGTGAGTAGAAATTACAAGGACTCCTACTTTGGCTTACTAGAGCTGTCCCCCACTCCTCAGGAGAGCTGTCCAACAAGGGCTGGGATTTTGATGAACAGTTCCTTGTCTCCATGAGCAGGCAGAGGCCACCAGTGGGCTGAACTTTCCATCAGTACATTCAACAGTTATTTATCGTGCGGACCCTGTGCCAGGTGTGGCACTCAGCACTATGTAAACAGTGGCGGCTAAACATTCTCCAAATAAATAAATAAATGCATACACAATGGCAAACTGTGAAGGCGCAACACTGTGTTGCCCAAGAGGGAAGCCTCTTTTAGACCGCGGGTATTAGACAAAGGTCTTTCTGGGCAGGCGATATTTGCGGGAGCCCTGAATGGTGAGAAGGCTCCCAGCCTGTGAGATCAGGGCACAGGGAACTGCAGGAGCACGGACCGAGTCCACCTCTCAGTGCCCACTGGAGACACGCGGCCAACTCCAGAAGGCCAGAGTCCGGAGCAGCGAGGGGTACGGCTGAGGGTGGCGCGGGCGACTACCAGACCCCTAGAGGGTGGGGAAACCGGGGTAGGGGGCGGCCCTGCTGACGTCATTTCCGGGGTCGGGGATATATAAGCAGGGCGCGCGGGCGCCGCTGCTGCAGTGCCCGAGCCCGGTGCAGAGAGACTGGTGGACGGCCCGAACGACGGACGTACACAGAGACGCTGTGGCCCTGTCCCCGCGCCAGCGCCGCCACAGCCCGCCCCGGCCCCCCGTGCAGCCGGCCCTCGCCCGGGAGCCCGCGGTGCCTGGCCCCAAACCTCCAGCTGCTCTGCGCTCCGGTTCGCCATGCGCTCCGCCGCTGTCCTGGCGCTCCTGCTCTGCGCCGGGCAAGGTGAGCGAGCGCAGGGGGCTCGGGGAGAGGGGCCTGGGGCCTCCCTGCCCGGCTTGAGGTGCTGGCACCGGCAGCGCCGCACGTCCCTCCATGCCTCCCCTCGGGCGCGCCGAGACTTCAGCACCGCGGACAGCGCCTCCGTCTCCAGCCTGGCCAGACTAAGTGGCCTCAGTCCGGGACCACAGACCTGACTCCTGGGGCCCGACCCCGGGAGGCAAGGTCCCTCGCACCCCCACCCCCTGTCTGAGCTCAGCGCCTAGGCTGTATCCGGCCAGCGCCAGCTCCGCGCCGGCCAAGGTCACTGGGGGGAGATGGGAGGGCTGTCCCTGGTTCCTGGCGGCCTTCTCCCTCTCTGCCAGCCTTCTGCCTGTCTTCTGCCCTTCCCCACCAGCTCTCACAGTCCCTCCTCCATCTCTTTTCCCTCCTCTCCTCTTCCCTCATCTCTGGGCGTCTCTCCCCATCTCCCTGCACCCTCTCCACCCCCCCCCCCAGTTTTGCTTTCATAGCCCTTGCCTTCCAAAGCAGGGGCTTTCCCAAAGGAAAGGGGTAAGTAGGGCTTCTCAGTGCAGCGTCTATGGACCGCCCCCCTGGGGACAGCAATCAGGGGATTGAAACAAAAGCAGCCCCATCCCCTCGTTTGGCTAAGGGGCAACTTTGAGAGGGCGTGGGGGGCAAATGGAACCCCGCTGACTGGCTGGGAGGGCCTGGGTGCCCAGGAAGCAGGGGAGTGACCTCCAGTTCTCCTCTTTCCTTCCCAGCCACTGCCCTCCCTGTGAACAGCCCGATGAAGAAAGGGGACACTGAGGTAAGATGGGGTGCTGGGGACGCCCTGGGATGGGGGTGGGAGGCCCCGTGGGCACCTCGCAGCCAGTCTTGGGGCAGCTGCAGAAGTGAGGCTGGCATAAAGCCAGGAGCCAATACTGCGGCTGCTGCGTGTGGGGACAGCTTGCAAAAGAAGCTATCAAAGGTTGCTGGATTTCCCCGCGATCCCGCTGTGAGGACTTGCCCAGACTCCTCCGAGCTGGACGTGAGGCCTGATGGGGTGTTTGTCCTACCTGCTGGACTCAAGTGCTAGGTCCACTGTCTCCAGCACTGGGAATTCACTCGGCCCACCATGGGGCTGTGGTGGGGGTGGCTCCTCTGTCCCATGGTGGCCACAGACCTGTTTTAAGTGCCTCGCCCTGGCCTCCCTTAGTGCTCTCCCACTTCCCTCGAGGTTCTATTGCTAGCAACACCCTCCCATTTCACAGGTGTTCAAGCCCCAGCTCCTCCAAAGGGCCACCGTGAAAACATTCTTGACCACAGCTCCTGCACCCTGGGGTCCCGGACAGTTAGACAAATGGTGGAGGTCACCAGGCAAGGGCATTATGAGACACTAGCAGGAGGGTTTCTGGCCAGCAAGAGACACCCTGCTGGGCAAACACTTGGAACTCATTCATGTCTGACCCAAGGCTGCTCTTCCAGGCTCTGGTGCTTGCAGACACTTAGGCTCAGAGAAATCCCCATTCCAAAAAGCTCCTTTCAGAAGCTGTTTCCTTCCATTCCACAGAGACCACGGTTAAGACCCAAGTATCAAAGAGATTCCAACTTCAATGTGCTCAGTTACATCTTCCATTTTTCTAGTTGTGGACAGACCTGAACGTCAGCCTCTACTGCTCATTCTAGCTATGCAGCTTTGGGAAAACTCCTTATGCTTTCTAGGCTTCCACTTTTCCCAACAGTAATAACGTTGTCCTCAAGAAGAGTTGAGGAGCTCTGGTGGTGCTGTGGTTAAAGCATTGGGCTACAAACCAGAAGGTTGGTGGTTCGAACCCAACAGCCACTCCGTGGAAGAAAGAGGAGGCAATCTGCTTCCATAAAGACTTATAGCCTTGGAAACCCTTTGGGCATTTCTACTCTGTCCTATAGGGTTGCTGAGTCGAAACTGACTCTATGGCAGTGGTTTTGGTTTTTGGTTTGAGAAGAGTTGTGAGCAGGAAGTGAAGGGCCTGGCACATATTAGGTCCTCAATAAATGGGCGCTGCTTTTCCTAGAGATTCCCTTCTTGATCTCTCCATCCACCTCTGGATCCACACACCACTCCTATCTCCCAGTTCTTTAGGAACTGGGGTTATCCAGTCCCCAGTGCAGGGTCTGGGGCTTCAGGGAGCTACAGGCTACAGGTTGTAGGCCTCTGCTTGCCAGCTCCCTTCAGGAGACCCTGTGGTCACTGTGTTATGTCTGGCACTCGGGTCAGGTTAAGACCTGAATGTGCCATCTGACAATGTGACTACACACACCATTGAGCCTGTTTGCCAGTTTGCCATCCCAGAGCCTTGGACCAGTTGCCTTGGCACCCTGCAGACACAGCTTGCCACCCCCTCACTCCCTGCCAGCTGTCTGAGGCATGTCTAACACCTTCTGCTCATCCGCTGGCTCTAGGCAGCTGAAGCAGATCTGGAGACGTGAATCCCTCCCCAGGTGTGTGCTCCAAGCTTCATGGTGCACTAACCCACTGTGTCTCACCACCTGGGAGGGCAGCGGGGCAGGGATTCTCGTTCCCATTTTACAGATAAGGAAACTAAGGCTCAGGCAGCTTAAGTCACCTACTTAAGATCATACAGCCAGGACACCACACTATGGTTGGTATCATCATCAAAGATCCCCCAAAATGTGCCTAATTGTCCACAGCACCTTGCTGGACACTGCACAAGACCCTGCACAGGCCAACAGCTTGGAGCAGGGACCCAGTTGTAGATGATGTGTGCCCCACATCCAGCCAGGGGTTCCATCCTGTGGGTGAATGCGGAGCCAGACAATGAGGCAGTCACTCATTGCATATGACAGCACCATGGGTGTTTGGAGCCAGGACCTAAGTCCTATCTCTAGACAGGGCAGAACCAGAAAAGACTTTTGTTCCCTTCTGGGCAGTCCAGAAGGGCTTCCTGGAGGAGCTAACATTTGAGCATCTGCAAGACTAAAATAGCCTTGTTAGACGTTCCTCTAAATCCCAGGACCAGCTTTCCCATCTTCAAAGAAATGTTACTTGAGGGTAAGAAGACACCAGGTCTTCTCACCCTTCCTCCACTATGATCAGCCTTAAAGGGCATACGGTATTGGAGTCCCTGGCACATGGTAGGCACCATGTAAGGGTTTGTTATCACCATTGCTATTACTGTCTGGCTAAGGAGGCAGAGCTGTGCCCATGAGCCAGGCATCCATGGACTCGTGAAGACAAGAACCAGTGTCCTGTTTGCCTTATAAATCTGCCCCAGGGCCACCAGAGGCAGAGCCCAATGCCCAAACAGTGCCACCTACCCTCTACTCTCTTCCCAGGTGATGAAGTGCATCGTTGAGGTCATCTCAGACACACTCTCCAAGCCCAGCCCTATGCCTGTCAGCCAGGAGTGCTTTGAGACCCTCCGAGGAGGTATGGGCCGGAGTTTGGAGGGTGAGGGCTGCTACCTGCTGGGCAAGGAGGCGAGGGGGTGGGTGTGGGGATTTGATTTAACTCACCAGTCCTTGACCAAGTGTCTGCTTTGGCCAGGCACTGTGCCGGGGCTGAGCGGGTAGATAAGGGGGACAGATATGAACAACTGAACACAGGAAGTAGAATTCTGGGCAGAATGGAAGCATGGCTGAAACAGTGAGCCTCCCAGAATGTGAGCTCCCTGCAGACAAGGACTGTGGGCGCTGTATTCCCAGTGCCTAGAACAGCCTCTGGCACCTGGTGGACACCCTGTAGCTGTGTGATGAATAAATGCATGTTGCAGGGAGCAGGAGAGAACAACATGTTTTCCAACCAAGCCATTGCATAGACGGAGTCAATGGCATTTGGGTTGGGCTTTAAAAGAGTAATTGGAAAACCATAAGGAAGGGTGGTCCAGGTGGCGGGGACAGCACAGACAAAGGCACAGAGATGGGTGGCTGAGAGACACTGCCACCCCGACCTCTGACCTCCGACCTCCGACCTCCGGGGGAAGCCACTCCTTGGCTGAGGCCTGGGTGCTGGGACAGTGAAAACTGACACCTTCGAGAGAAGGTGCATTCAAAAGTGTTATCTGAAGACCAATCTGGCTGCTGCCACCCAGGTTTTGAGTTTCCAGAACAAATTCCTTGTGCTCAGCTCAAAATACTGATGGTAATCTCTTTCTGGGCTGTTCTCTGGAAACCAACCATAACGATGGCCCTCGCTGCAGATGAACGGATCCTTTCCATCCTGCGGCACCAGAATTTACTGAAGGAGCTCCAAGACATCGCTCTCCAAGGTATTTTCCAGCCACCGCAGTAATTCTGGGTCAATTCCGGTAACTGCTGGAGGGTTGAGCAAGGTTCTGCCTCTGGTACTCAGTGACTTCCTTTCAATTATAGAATGGAACGGCGAGGGGCCTCTGTGCCACTCGATCCAATCTGTTTTTGATATAGTTAAAGAGATCAAGGCCCAGAGAGGTTGAGTGACTTGTCCAGGGTCACACAGTGAGTTAGGGACATGCCAAGACCAGATGCAGCTCTCCTAATACCCCAGACTCTGCGGTTCCAGCCATGTCAGTGGGGCACTTTTAAGACTAGATTGCAGGCAGGATCCCCTGCCCTCAGTTAACGGAAAATGAAATTGATCTCCTGGAGAGGGGAGGGGTCCAAGTTTCCTTGTGAGCTTCATCTACTTGAGGGGGAGTTGGGGAAGGCAGGGACTTGGTTGCCCAAATCCAGGCATGCTTCAGGGTGAGGTATGGCTTTTCCCACAAGACTGGAAAAACCCACTGATGCTATAGAGTGGAGTGACCGTGTGAGGTAGTGAGCACCTCGTCTCAGAGGATATTCAAGCAGAGCCTGGGCAGGAGGCTGGAAGGGAGGAATAGGCTGATGTTGCAAATAGCGAGCCACTCTGCCTACCCTCAGACTGATTTCTGGGTGACATAAGGCACAGAGTCCTACCCTGGGAGCTGGGAACTCTGGTTCCAGTCCTGCCTCAGCCCTGGCTGCCTTCTGGTGAAAAGTGCCATTATCTGGGGGCAGGGCCATTGGCCTGCTGTGCCTCCCCCTAAAAATGGGCTCTCAAGCATGAATCTGCATCTGCTTCCCTACCAAACCAGGCCTGGGCCGTGTGTGGGGTGGAGTGGGACAGCCCAGGCCATGTGTGAGAATGGAGAGAGATTTGGGAGGCAGCAAGGACCAGCTATCACAGCAGCAGGGACCCCCGGCCCTTCCCAAGTTCTCATGCTGTCCTCTCTCACTCGTCAGTCAGCCTGAGAGGCCAGCGACCACGCCTGTGCTTGTTGGGAGGATGGAATGGGCCCCTGGCCCCTAGGAGGTGCTGGGCAGCACTGGGGCTATGATGACCCATATTATTAACTTACCATTGTTGATCCTGGTGTTGCTGTTTTTACTAAACATTAAATATTGTACTACAATCTAGTCATTTTAAAGTTAAAGAACCAACTCACTACATTTAAGTAATTGAATATAATGTCCATAGAGATGCTCACAGGGGACTGTGTCCTGAAATGTCTTCAGCACACACAGCCATGTGTTCATTCAACATAAACAGCACACCATATAAACCAGCCACCCATGGTTCATTCTCACTCCGGCAACCCCATGGGTGTCCGAGTGGAACTGCACTCCATAAGGTTGTTAATGGCTGGGTTTTTGTTTTTTTTTTTTTTTTAAAGTAAATTGTCAGGCCTTTCTTTTGAGGTACCTTGGAGTGGGCTCAAACCTCCAACCTTTTTGTTTGCAGCCAAGCACGTTAAAACATTTGCACCACTCAGCCACTCCATATACAATATACATATATATGATTGTTTTTTGTTAAAAGAGGATGTCTGTTCACCCATCTGTTCATCCATCTATCCATCCGCCCATCCAACCATCCGTCTGTTAATCTGTTCCCTCTTCTGGGCTCCCCTAGTGTCTATGTCAGCATTTATGACGCAGCCAGACAGGACCACAGCTCTCCCCTGTTTTGTGGAGGAGCAAGTCAATCTTGGAGGGCTGCCTGAGGCCAGAGCTAGGGCATACTCCCTGGTCTGTGGCCACTGGGCTCCTCTAGTCACCCTGGAATTGCCACCATGGGGAAATATCCCCAGCCACAGAGCTGGCCTGGCGAGGGGTCATCGTCAGGCACCAGGCATGGGAGGGGGATGGCCAGAGGAGGCCGCAGCAGCTTGGGGGTGAATGCAGGCAGGGGGCTCTCCGGGTCCTGGCAGCGCATGCGGACCCTGTGCTTGGATGCTGGTGCGGTGCTCAGCCTTCTTCCCGGGGCCTGGGGAGCGGGGGTTGCCTCAGGCAAGAGCCCCACGAGGGGACAAGCAGTCACCATGACTTCTGTTGCATGCTCCAGAGTCCCTTGAGCTACTAGCCAGGTCCTAATGCATCTTCCACTCCCCACTCCTACCCCTGGGGCCCTCGGCTCCATTTGAGCCTTTAGTGCTCTGTGGCACAGCAGGGCTTACTTCCCAGGTAAGAAACTGAGCCTGGGGAGGAGGTGTGGCCCCCTCTCCTCAATGGGGAGGGTGCAGAGGCAGCTAACCCTTCACCCCTCCCCAAGCTCCGGCCCCTGCAGTCTTTGGTTGGGCGGGCCTGGAATACCGTGTGCCCAGTTTACAGATAAAGAAACTTGGCCCTCACTCCCAGACAACCATGCCAGCTCGGGGCTCTAACCAGATGGTTTTTTTTTTTTTTTTTTTCCTCCTTTTCTCATACAGGGGCCGCGGAGAGGGCACAGCAGCAGAAGAAACACAGCAGTTTGGAAGATGAACTCTCAGGGGCTCTTGAGAGCCAGAGAGACAAGGCGGAGCTGAAGGGTCAGTGTCAGCCAGGCTGGCCAGAGGCTCAGCAGGGATGGGGGTGCATGAGAGATGGACCAAGGGCTCCTGAGAGCCAGGGGCCCTTCCTTTAGGCCCTGTAATGTGGACAGTATCTTCTTCCACCTACATACGGAGAAACCGAGGCCAAGAAAGGTTAAGTACCGTGCCCAAGATTCCGTGGCTGGCGAGCGTGGCATCAGGGTCTGTCTCGCTCCAAAGCCTGACTTTCCCATCTGCCCACCACTCTGGGGCAGGAAGTCTGACCTGGCAGGCAGGCAACTCCAGCTCTGGGTCTACCCAGTGGCCACTGCGCCTGAGCAGGCCCTGCCCCGCATGCCTGCCCTCCTGGGATTCGCTGGTGCCACAGACTGACACATAGGGTCACCTTGAGTCAGGATCAACTCAACAGCACTGAGACTGGTTTTTTGGTTTTAGAATAGCCAAGGGGCAGGAAGATGTTGGGGAGGGAGAGGCAGGTTTGAAACACTAAGTGAACCTGGATCATCTTCCTTGAAACCAAAGAGGTTTTTGGGGTCAGAGAGGTCATGTGCTAGGTCATCGTGATGCTGTTATTCACCTGCCCGGCCTGGAAACAACCCCAAACTTCCCCTACAGGACCTGCCTCTGTGTGTGGAAGGGGGTGGGTGAGGCAGTTTCCAGGAGCCGGGAGCTCAGTGGTCTCCCAATGGCTGTGGCTGAGAGGTGCCCAGCAAGGAAGCCCGTTGGCTGGTGCTGTCACTCAAGTGGCTGCTTGGAGTACAGCCTGGCTTCATGGGCATGCGTCTGTCTGGATGGTGAGGCTTCATGGGCGCACGTCTGTCTGGACGGTGAGGCTTCCACTGGCTGCAGGAGGGGTGCATAGCAGCTCGTAGATGGGCCTGGAAGCTTTAATGGGGAGGCAGCCATGTGTGAGTCCCAAGAGTACCCTGAACTTGGCATTTGGAGGCTGGGGTTCAAGGCTCAGCTCTGCTGTCCACAGACTGCACGAGTATGACAAGGCCCCCTCACCTTTCTGGGGATCAGTCTGAGTTTCTATACAGCGGAGATGGGAGTCTCAGTGACGCTCCAACAGTGGACTGTCCTTGGTAGTGCTTTGTTAAATGGAAATCAGCGTCAGATGGGTGGGATGCTTATGAGTTTATATATATTTATGTATTTGTTATTGTTGTTATGTGCCATCAAGTCGGCCCCGACTCATAGCGACCCCTCCTTGGGTTTCCGAGGCGGTATCACTACAGAAGTAGGATTGCCCAACCTTCCTTCTGAGGAGTGGCTGGTGGGTTTGAACCGCCAGCCTTCTGGTTAGCAGTCAAGTGTTTTAGGCAGTATGCTACCAGAGCTCCTATATATTTATATATATTTTTTTATTTTTCCCTATCTTCCTTCTGTGGAGTGGCTGGTGGGTTTGAACCACTGACCTTCTGGTTAGCAGTCAAGTGCCTTATCCACTATGCTGCCAGACCTCTCTCTCTCTCTCTCTCTCTCTCTATGGCACAACCTTTGCCAGTTCAACATTTTTTACACGTATGCTTCAGTGATACCAATGATGTTAATTGTATGCAACCATCACCAGTGTCCATTAAAAGTACCTTTTCATGAAGCCCTGTAAGTACTGGGGAGCCAAGCACCTTCACGGAGTGCTGGAGGCAGGGCAGCCCCACAGGGAGGGGAGAGGTGCTGAGTGAGGCTGCAGGAACAGTGCCCTCTGACACAGACAGGGTAAGCGACTTACCCAAGATCACCCAGCAGTTCAGCAGTTGTCCTCATTTCCAGTTCCGGGGTCCCTTCTGGGGTCATTTCCAGGATCTGTTGGAACACATTCTGTTTTAAGAGGCAGAATTACAGGAAAGAAACACAATCTAATTGTGCTCAGGTTGAGTGTGGGCTTGGACAGATAACCTCTTTCTGGGATGTGGGTTTTGAGCTGGGCTTGGTGGGAAGAGGAGAGGCAAGGTCTGAGATCCCAAATTGGCCTCTGGGGAGGCCCAGGTGCAGCCTTGTCCCCAGGGCTTGACTTTGCTCTGTTGTTTCTGCAGAGGTGACAGGAGAGGCGGCCTCCAAGGATGCTGTGGAGAAGAGAGGGGACTCTAAACAGGCAGGGAACCATGGTGAAGGCACAGAGGGAGCCAGGCCCCAGTCCTCCCTGACGCCCGCGGAGGGGTCCAAGACGGAGAACCACCAGGCCTCTGAGGAGGAGGAGGCCACAAACAACCACCCCCCGGCCAGCCTCCCTGGCCAGAAACACACAGACCCACAGGCCGAGGGGGACACAGAGAGCCCCTCACAGGGTCTGGTGGACAGAGAGACGGGCCTGGGTACAGGGCAAGGGCAGCAGGCAAAGAGCCAGGAGGAGGCAGAAGACAATGCCGGAGAGAAGGCTGTCTCTGAGGAAGAAGGCCCCACTTCGGCACTAGACCTCCACTCGAGCCTCGGCTACAAGGAGACCCAAAGGGGCAAGAGTACGTATAACAGCGGAGCCCTCAAGTGTCTCGGGGAGAAGGGGCAGGTGGTGGGAGGGACCTCATCCGTGACCTTATTCCACCTTCACAACAGCCCTGAAGGCAGGTATCATTTCCATTTTCTAGATGGGAAATGGAGGCTCAGAGAGGTTCAGTAATTTACCCAAGGTCACACAGCTAATGTATAGTAAAAGCTGAGATTCCACCCAAACAAGGTCTATCTGACTCCAAAATCATGAACCTGGGTAAGTGGGTGGGCTTTAGGAACAAAGGACCAGGATGGCAGGTGGGAGCAGCCTGGGGACAGGGTCAGCCAGCCTGAGGAGAGACTCTAGTTCCTCACGAGGGCCTTGTTCTCTCTCCGCTCTTCCTGGTGACCCATGTGGGTTGGGAGCTTCGGGGTGAGGAAGCTGAAGCAGGCTCTAGCCCACCCGCCCCTGAACAGTGAGCTTTGAGAGGCTCCTGCCGAGAACGTTGGGGTGGGCTTCCCCTTCCCAGTGGGATCTGCTGTTGAGAGGCCAGACTGGCCCTGAGACCCCGGGGTCCTGGACCCCAGTGGTGGCTGTGGCAGAGGCCCCTGGGGAATGGCATGTACTGGGAAAGGTGGTGGTCCCACTCACTGTCCTGTTCTTGTCCATCCCAGCTCCAAGTCGGCCGGAGGCCATGGCCATGGAGGGAGCCAGGAAGACTGGGGCTGAGGAGGTCCAGCCCCTGGAGGGGAAGGGGGAGCGAGAGTACTCCCAGGAGGAGGAGGAGGAGATGGTGGGGACCCCTGAAGGCCTCTTCCGGGGCGGGAAGAGCAGGGAGCAGGAGGAGGAGGAGCGGCTGTCCAAGGAGTGGGAGGGTGCCAAGCGGTGGAGCAAGATGGACCAGCTGGCCAAGGAGCTAACAGCTGAGAAGCGACGGGTGGGGGCGGACGCGGAGGAGGACGACCCCGACCGCTCCATGAAGCTCTCCTTCCGCTCCCGGGCCTATGGCTTCGGGGGCCCCGGACCGCAGGTGCGGCGAGGCTGGCGGCCATCCTCTGGGGAGGACAGCATCGAGGCGGGCCTGCCCCTCCCGGGCCGCAGCTTCTCAGAGGAGAAGAAGGAGGAGGAGGGCAGCGCCAACCGCAGACCGGAGGTTGGTACCGGCGGGAGCCAGGGCCGGGCCCGGGGCACGGTGCCCCGGCCCCACTGAGGGGCCCAGTCCCCTCGGAGGTCTGGAACTGCAGGGCTCAGATCGGGGGCTCTTGGGAGATTCCCCGGCGGCTCTGGGTTAGGGCAGAGCTCTGGAGGCAGGAGAGAGGGGGCAGCTGGCCAGGAGCTGAGTGGAAACCGAGGCAGGAGCACCCTGCTGAGCTGGGAGGCGGGCGCCACGAGCGGCTGGGGGATGGGAGGTGTTCAGATCCACCTGTGGAACATGGATGGACAGGGGGTGAGTTGACCCCATTCCTAGAGGCACCAGGAGTGGGCGTGGTCCTGAAGGAATGGGGTCAAAAGTTAGGCAGCAGCAGATGTGTGTGATGGGTGGAGACTGGTGCTTAGGGTGGGGGGATTTCGACAACAAAAGGACATGGCAGGGTCCGGCCTGGGGGACCAGTGGCCCTGAGAGCTGGGTGGGTGTGGGAAGGGCACTAAGGGACAGCTCCTTCCTGGGAAGGCCTCTCGATTGGCCCCAGGCAGCCCAGGCATAGCTTCCTCCTGGGTTAGGCCTGAGTCCTGGCAACAGTAGCCAAGGGGCTGGGGCAGGGTTAGCCTGATGCTCGGGCTGGTGGGTGGAATGGGCAGGGAGGCTTGGATGTGCACCAGAAGGCTGGGTTCTGCCTGAGCTGTGTGACCTTGGGCGGGTCATTGCCTTTCTCTGAGTCTCATAGGTCCTGCCATGTATAAAATGGGGTGACCTTACTGCTCACCTCATGATCATGATAGGACTCATAAGCTCTGGAAACCTGGCCTCGCTCAGAGCACTGTGGGCAGCTTGGTGGGTGCAGGGACGCAGCTTCATAGGAGGACAGGCTGGGAGGTGTGTTCCCCGGCAGGGAACACACCCTGGAGCTGGAGGTGGCCCTAGGCCACCTATCCAAGCCTCAGTGTCCAGGTGGGATTCAGGCCCTACAAGGGGCTGGCACCTGTACAGGCCCTGCCCCACGGCTCTCCTCTGCACACCCTTCCTGGGGTCCCTGGCCCTCTGTCTGACACTGGGGTCTTGTTGGGAGCCTAAGAGGAAGGAGGCTTGGGAGCTGGAGCATGAGGGGAAGGGGCTGCA